AATGAGGGGTCTGGTTTTCCATATCAATATACTATAGCATATACCCACAAAAAGAGTAATCACTCATTTTTTGTTAACATTAAAACCAAGATGCTAATACCTACTCCAGACAGCATGCCTTCTACAAGAAGTGGAGCAATATGCATTTAGAATAATAAGGTAAAAGAGTTACATAGCTTATAGTCTTATATAACATTTTCTTTCACAAATGAAGGAACAATGCAGCATTCCAGAATCTTGAAATTCAGTACTAACTAGTGAAACTATTGTATTGTGGAATTTTTCTTTAAGGAATTCTTTTATTTTTTATTTTTTACATTTTATTTTCTTTGGAGAAAAAATAATAAAAAAAGAATTTCCCATTAACACTACAGCTATCACTTAAGCTAATTCTGTATAACTTCTCAAGTGCCAAGTTAGACAATGATCATGCAGATTGTTTCAACATGCTCTTGGTTTATTATTTGTTAAATATAACCTAATCTAGCTAAGTAAAACAAGGATAATACCAAAGCATGCTCATTCTTCATATTCTACATATTCTCAGCATGTAGAAAACTGTTATTACAAGTGTGCATGAAGAATGAATGGCAACACCTGGGTGTGGAAGCATCAGAAATAAAAAACAGCTAGAGAACGGTTACAAGAATGTCCTGTATCCATAGTACCTAGATTAACAGGTCATCAAGATCCTAGCACGTATCTACCTACAGTTTAGCAGGACATCCAGATAGTGGAAAGGGCACTGAGTAAATCCGAATGACTTGCTGAAGTGGGACAGGATAATAAGCACAGTCAGGTTACAAAAAGACATATCCAAAACCAAGATATGAGAAGAAGGCATAAATGAATGACTGAAACAAGTTTAGATTTTTTTAAAAAAAAAATCTGCTTTCCTGTCTTAGGAGGTCTTGCATTGTTGTTACAAAATTGCAACATTATTTCCTACAAACCCTACCTATTTAACATGTTCTTTGGCATCATAAAAATATATAATCTATTCTGTGTGTTTGCAGTGTTTTCTACAAAAACACATTGAATGAATTCACCTGTTTTGTTATAACTGGGCTGCGACTGAATTAAGTATTTTCTGATCACACTTTCTGCTAACTTCCAGAAATACACAATAAGATCCTCACCTGTTATGCATTGCTAGAACTTTATTAAAATCAAGAGAGCTACAACACTCTACACTAGCTGTGGATCTGCTACATTAGTTTTTTATTGGGTGCAAGCAGAACTCAGCTGCTTGTGTACTTGCTTCAGACCATGAACAGGTTGCTAAGGCTGGATCTATTTTAAAATGAAAAATATGTTTTAAAAAGATATATAATCAGGTGATCTACAATTGTTAAATGATTAACAATATTTCTGAATAGCTTTATGAGATGTATGTGTCAAATATTATGCACTTTTTATGGTTGACATCTAGAAGGTTAAGTGGCTTGCCTGTGGTCATATAGTGTTTCCAAGCTTTCAGCTCTAGGCTGTTCCAATCCCCATTTTAACCACAAGACTTGGCTGTCTTTCAGTGAGGTTAATACATGACTGTGTGCTATTAAAGTAATGATCAGTGCTATCTAAGATGCTTGCTTGAGCATTTAAGGTTAAATGGAAATAAATTTTGTTCTGTAGTGTTAAAACTTGGCTTATGTGTTGCAAACTAGGTCAAATGTTATCTACATCACTGGTGATAAGACTGAGTTGATTTCTAACATTCCTAAGCTAAGAAGTAGTGATTTACAGACATTTGTTTCTAGATAACAAAAAATTCCATCTCAAGGACAGTTCTGCAGAGATACCAGGGCCTGAAAAATTATCCTTAGGCCTGTAAATGCTGCCAACTTCTCTTTCATTGATGTATACAAAATTCATGAGTAAGCAATTATTTTTTAATATATATAGTAGTTGCTTGGAGTTCACTTAGCATTCATGATTGCCTCTTGAATTCTCAGTAGGAATGGAAGAGAGAGTTTAACACACACAGCAGAAAGATAATACAAGTTACTGGAGACTCTTTAAATCTTTACTGATTTACATCTTTGATTTTTCGTCTGTTTTGCCCTCTTCTGTTCCTCCTGCTAGGAGTCAGATGGAATCTCTGTAAAAGGACAGCTAAAAGAAAAGTATGAGTGAGCTGGCTGGCACAATCACAGAATCATAGGGTGATTTGGGTTGGCAGGGACCTTTAAAGCCTATCTAGTCCAATCCCTTGCTGTGGACAGGGACATCCTTCATTAGACCAGGTTGCTTAAAGCCCCATCCAGCCCAGCCTTGAACACTTCCAGGGATGGGTCATCCACAGCTTCTGGGCAACCTGTTCCAGTATTACCACCCTCATTTGTAAAATATTTATTCCTCATGTCTGATCTAAATCAACCATCTTCCAGTTTAAAACTGTTGCTTCTTGTCCTGCCGCTATGGGCCTTGGAAAGTCTTATAAGCCTCCTTTAAGCACAAGGAGGCTGCCATACGGTCTCCCTAGAGCTTTCTCTTCTCCAGGCTGAACGCCAGCTCTCTGTCTGTCCTCACAGGAGAGATACATCAGACCCTAGACCCTTTTTGTGGCCTCTTCTGGACTTGCTCCAGCAGGTCCATGTCTTTGTTGTATTGGGGACTCCAGAACTAGATACAGGACCCAATCGTAAACAGTTTCTGTCATTTTTGGGATATCTTCAGCCCTTTGCCTGCCAATCTCGGAGGTAACCTGCAGCCACCAAGGGAGCTCTGACTACTGCAGGTCATCCGTCTGTCCCTGTGCTTGATGAGCTCCTGTGCTTGTTTGATCCCTCTCTCCTGCAGAGGCAGCAAAACTGATACGTTTGTGTGCATATGTTATTGAAGGTGCTTTTAGATTTCCTGGAAAGTGTCTTTTCCCCCCTTCCCTTCCAGGCACCATTTCCAAGCCTTTTAAGCCACTAGGTTTGGCCTTATGATGTTTACCACACAACAGGGTATAACTCTGCTTTAGTTGCAACCCCACAACCACCGGGAATTTGTTCCTTGCTTTTAGGATGCTGAAATAGGAAATGTGTCTTATTTGTGGAGAATAACGTGTCACCACCAACTAATAATTCATCAGCAGAGCCAGGGGACATTTTCTGCCTAGGCAGAAGTGAAGCCTGGGGCGCTTCCCCCGCCCTAGCCCCGGGCCCGGGCGCCGGCAGGCGGGGCCGGATTGCGCGGGGGAACGGAAAGCTCCGGACCGGGTTTCCCGTTATCCCGGTGCCATCCGGGGGGAAGAGTTTAGGTGGCAGCAACCCCGGGAGGGATGAGGACGGTGAAGGTGCTGTGGTTGCTTCTCCAGGTCGCTCCCTTCTCCGCCTCCGCTCCCCGCCCTCCCCTCGGCCGGCAGGCCGGGGGCCCTGGCCCAGGTGCGGCCCCGGCGCGGCATTGCGGCCGCCAGCGCAGCGCGGGGGGGCTGGGCCGGGGGGTCACTGCGCGCTGGGGGACCCGGCGGGGCCGGGCGGGCCCGGGGCTCGGCAGGGACCCGCTGTGCGCCGCGGGAGAGCACCCGCGGGGTGTCTGTGTGCGAGTCTGTGTCTCTGTGTGCGAGTCTGTGTGCGAGTCTGTGTGCGAGTCTGTGTGTGTGTGTGTGTGTGTGTGAGTCTGTGTCTCTGTGTGTGTCTGTGTCTCTGTGTGCGAGTCTGTGTGTGTCTGTGTGTGTGTGTGTGTGTGTGTGTGTGTGAGTCTGTGTCTCTGTGTGTGAGTCTGTGTCTCTGTGTGT